ATTTGTTACACTAGTCTTGCTAATATCCTTCATGTGTCAGAGGCAGGACGAAATATCTACAAACGAAACAGTTCTCAAAAGATAAAACTACTTAAGGGACTGATCTCTATAATGAGAGTCAAAGGTTTTTCCCACTTTTATTCTCAAAATCATGAAATCTACACTTACGTTTCTCTGCTTTAGATGGCAGAATAGAGGCCATTTTTCATTGAAATCCAAAACTATATTTTTCTAAAACTCAAGGAAAGGTTCAGAGAAGAGTACATATTTGCCCCACAAAGGGTGTCTTACCTAAATTAAACGGCTGTGCAATTTTGAAGAAATAAAAATTCATCGACACTTCGTAGCGTGATATCACTACTCATGCTATTCGAATACTGCATATAAATGGGGGTTTTTCTTATGTAATAATAAATCCATCCACAACTTCCCCTATTCAACATTCACCAATTATTTATTAACAGCGCGATACAACGATATCACATCACCATTCAAAATGCTTTGAATTTCTAATAAAGGAAGGCACTGTAAATTTCTTGGAAAAACATTCACTGCCCATCATGAGCCAAGTGCCCTTGAATTTATGGTGGGGTTATTTTATTATTCTTTTTTATAGTGTTTTACAGCGCTCGCAACTGTATAAGGTCATATGAGTGTGGGGGACACACTTAACATTTTCAGTCGGTAGGAAATTATGAATTTTGCCTGGGTGTTGGCTGAAGCCTACTCTTATCGATTTTAGACCACCAAGGGTTCTATAATGTGCGCAACTTGCATATCGGACCTCCAAGATTTTTCGCTCTGATCCGAGAAGGCTAGGTGTTAGATCTTATCATAAAACCAGGGGTGTGGCTGAAAGACAGGAGTAAGAAGGAGCCAAGGAGTAGCAGTAAAAAGGCTGCAGAAAGAGTCAGTAGCCCAGAGGAGAGAGCAAAGGAGGTGAGGGGGTAGGGGCAGAAAGTGGAGAAAAAAGCAGATGACAGAAAATGGTTAGAGAGCAGGAAAGACGGTGAAAGGAGAAAATTTTAGAGAAGAAAATTTTTCTTTGCTATCCGGATTCGAACCGGGAACCTATTGAATGAGAGGCGAACACCATAACATCTCGACTATGAGAACCCCTTATTCATGGTGTGATTAGTGAATACTGAAGAGCAGTGAAAACATCCTACAGGCATGATTTATAACTCTTGTTGGTTCTACTTTTCACTCCGTCTCCTAATCATCTAGTACAAATTACAGAATTTAGTTAAATGATTTTAGCTATACAATATGCTCTAATTCTACAATAGGTGGAGAAAAACGAGTCAAAATCCATTATCTATAAAAATCACATAGCATTCAAATGGCTGTACTATGCTTTGAATAGCTGTGAATAGCGCAAAACTCGTGAATGTTGAACAGGTAAGTCGAATGGGTACAGTTCTACTCACCTGTGGCATCTACTAGCAGTAAGCTGAGTATTTTGCACTCGGTAACTGTCTCAAAGTTTGGTCCCACCATCATGCTGTACACTCCCTCCCGCACGAAGTCAGAGAATCCTATCTCTTTGGCCTTAGCGAGGGCCAGCTGTCGCAGACCAAGATCGTAGGCATTGGACATTGCCGGGAATCGAGGCCCGAATCTGAGGAGAAACCACACATCTTTTCTTTTTAAAAATGTACTGGTGATTACACTTTTCCTGATTTTGTGTTAAGATACAATGAAAGAAAAAAATTGGTGCTGCTCAGTGGTGATCGAAGAGGCTTGTTCAGTGTCTTGCCATATCTTTTAGAAATTTTTATGCCTACTCAATTTTTACTCGGTCTTTTGAAAAATCTTATTCTTACTATGGATTATAAGTCATTCAGTCGAGCCATATTTATTGTGGTATTGATTGTTTTGAGTGTGTAAATGCAAATTCACCAGTGCAGTGTTTTGAGCGAAGCTTCACCATTGAGACAGACCTACAGTTCAGTCATGTTTAAACTCTTGGAATCAGCAGGTAGAAAGAGTGTGTACAATTTTGATCTACCCCGTGAATTAAGAACACATTAACGAGAAAGGGAGGGAGCAGTGCGATTCAGAGTAATGAGAAGATCTATTAAAGCATTAATACCTACAATTGTAACAGGTAAAACAAGGTCCTTAAATAATAAAAAGAATGAACTCTGCAAACGTTAGGTTTATACATGAGTATAGAGAGGCCTCGCTTATTTGTGTTAGCGAGACGGGGTGTAAATAACTTATTGACAGTCCAATCCTCCCATTGAAAAGATATGTGATGGAGAAAGATCTGTGGCCACGGAAAAGAAGGGAAAAAAAAGGATTTTAAACAAATCTAGCATACAGGTTTCTTAAACTGAACCGTCAACATGTACATTTTGCTGGAAGGGAACCTGGTTCCTCGACTTAATTACAAGCAGCCACTAACCAAATTCAAAGGTTCTTTTCACTCACACCAATTCAAGTTTTTACAAGATTAAAAAATGAATCGCTTTTGAACATTGGACAAACAAGTAGTCCAGTGAAGTCTGCTACTTCTCTTTCACTTTAAAAAAAAAAATTTTACATTATCTTATAAAATTAAAGCACAATAGAGAAACTAAACAACTCCCGTAAGCTGTCCAGCCAAGAACAAGTCTTGAAATTATTTTCAAATTAAGAGCTGTCAAGCCAAGTACAAGTGATAATCTTCAGACTAATAACACAACACACAAGATATAAACAACACATGTGTACATGTTTTAAACTAGTACAATAACCAAAATGCTGATGTGGAGAAGCAAACCAAACTGTAGAACACAACATCCTCTAGCAGTGTAGAGCGGTACAGGCCAACAGAAGAACTGAACAGGATGGCTATATGATAGATACCAGACATTTTAGTTTCAGTAAGAATTTCACAGTACTTGGAACACAATGAGGTCATATAAGTGCAGAAGATTAGAGGGGTTAGAGAGTAACAAACAGAAAAAACAGAAGGAGGCCTGCCAACCACCCACACATTCCCATTACATGAAAGAGACATGCAAATTTTTCCAACCTTTGGGTCCCTTTTAATTGTCTGGGAGTGGGGGGAAACCTGTAAAAGCATCCAAAGACTTTGGCAGGTGAGCCTAGTACTGTACTTTTTACTGAACATCAGCCCCTCCCCTTACAATTACTGAGAAGCAAGCTCTTCCGAAGGACAACAATGAGTGAAAACAGAGCTGACCCTTGATCTGGACAAATAATTCCATTATGCAAATAGTCAGTAACATGACAGTTTGTAGCAAATCAGACAATGCCCTCTTAGTGCTGAAATTACTTCTGTCAATACTGTGACCGATTACACTGTATCGAGATCAGCAAACACTGTGAGTGGGTGGTTGGTGGGTGCTCTGGTGTGGTTTGCTCCTTTCCTATCAAACATATATATCCTCCTAATCTCCCCTCCTTCTTTTTTTGAATTTGTTACTCTCTCATAACACCTCTAATCTTCAGCACATATATGAGCTTATTATGTTGCAAGTGCCGTAACTTTTACTAAAAGTCAAAATATACATTTACTCAAGGCATCCCAAAATAGATACATCCCAAAATGTCTTTATAGTCACTTTCAGACACTTTGGCACAGCAAAAGATATATCTCTTTGCAGCCATTTAGAGTTAGGAAAAAGCAAAGCGAACTAACAGACTGCAAATCAACAAATCAGGGTAGTTTAGCCTCTCGCACCCACAGATCACATACTCTCCACTACAGCTTACTTTTCGTCATTAACCCCAACAAGGGGGTTAACACCAGCAAATCCAGCCAAGTTGACATGGTCCTTGATGATCATGATGTCCCCGATATTGTACTTTTTGTTGACACCTCCGGCTGCGTTGGTGACAAACAGTGTGGTTATCCCCATCATCTTCATAGTTCTCACAGGCAGGGTGATCTGTGAAAAGGGAGGAGGGGAAGGGTGGAACAAGGGACACAACAGAATTTATTGTTTTACATACATTTATTCTAATTTTGCTTTATGGTATTTATTGGTGACAATCAGTGTGATAATCCACAAATCCTCGTAGTTTTCACAAACAGGGCGATTGGCGTTGGAAGGGGAGAAAGCAGGGGACGTAACAAAATGTATTATTTTATATCGGTCTAAATTTCGTAGCCCCCCTGTATTATCTCCCTTGAAATCAAAGGGCAACATATAATACAGTCGAACATATGTAAGACAGAACCGCAAGAGAGCCAGAAAAAAAATTCCCTCTTAGACAGGGGAATTTAGTGGGGATATGGAGGGGAGGGGGGTTCAAAGGCCCAGCTAATGGGATCAAAGATCGCTTGTCCGGTCAGCAAGCAATCTCAAGTGGTCAAAACTTCCCACCTCTCAGCTGCTATCCTCTCTAATAATGACACGCATCAGTCTTATTTATCCAATTACCACCAGAGCGTGCATTTTATAGGACCACTGTTTGACCTATTAAAAACAGAACGGTTTGAACATCTCCTTTGCTTCTACCCTTAGCCCAACCCATCGGTGTAATAAGCACAGTCAACCAATGCCACCCCTTACTGCCATGTAACAATTATTCGAGGAACTCTTTTCTCGGCTGGCTGTACGATTAGAACGGCAGGCATTGGTTAAACTTATTTCACACCTCTGGCTACCAATGAAAGTTTCCGAGCAGCAGTGCCACTCGAGCACTTTCACTGGCACTTGTGAGATTTATTACCCACATCACCCTGACCATCTTCATCGTTCAGGGCTCACATAGATGGGGTAACATCTACCCTCAAATTGCACCCTTACTCCTTGGCTTTAAGTTTAGAGTAGAGCCAGCGGACGGAACCAAACATTTCCATCTTAGACAGGTAAAACCATTGGAAGGGAGCGGATTTTTCTTTCCGTTTCCGCGTTGGACAGGTTTCAGTTTTACACAGGTAATAAAAGAGGAATGTATCAAGGGGGCTGGGAGATTCCGCTAAGACAAGTTTCTGTTTTACACAGGTTTCTGTTAATGCAGGTTCGACTGAAAATTTAATTAACCAATCTGTATTATAAACAAAAACAATTTATATAAATTACACCTATTCGTGGTCAAGTACAGCAGCTTTAAAACTTCAAACGGATGAAATGTGGACTTTTCCCTCTACTTCTTTCGTATATTTGTCACACTCTTGTGACCCATTATTTCCAGGGTGCCATGATAGTCGAAGCAGACTTTGTGCTGTTGAAGCTAGAGAGGTGAGCAGAGTAAGTCTGATTCCTTGTAAGGACTTCTCTGTTGACATCCACCTCTTGGCGCTCATATGATCTTATGCAGTTGCGAGCGCCGAAAAACCTCAACTAAAACAAAAGCTTGAACAGATTTTTATTACCTTTAAATCTTAACTTTGAAATTTCAGTTACAGGTCATCATGAAATAGGAAATAAACTATTTCTGGGTGACTTTTCATTAAATTTGGAAGAAGAGTGATCCAAAACTAGTAATGTATCTTGAATCTCTTCCCCCTATATAAATGTCATTTTTCTCAGATAAAATGCCAAATCTGGCAGTGTACTCAGCACAACAACTTTCCCTCCTCATACTGTGGGTGGTTGGCAGGCACCCTAGTGTGGTTTGCTCCTTCAAACATAACACATCAGTCGCCATTATCTTTCCTCCTTCGCTTCTTTGCATGCTATTCTCTAGTAACAACTCTAATCTTCTACTCTCATGTCACCAAAATGTGTTGCAAGTGCTGTAAAACCTCTTAATAAATCTAAACTAAAACGAACATCTTATCTCCTCATGTCCTACCTTCTGTGGAGTGTATCCTTCATAACAGTGAGCCCGGCCTTGCATCAACACAACGGACTTGCCTCTCAGCTGACCAAATACCAGTTTTCCTTCATGGCCAGGCACTGACGATGAGGGAATTTCTTTACTAGAGAGTCTGTTTGACCAACTAAACTTAAAACATCCTACAAGACACAAGCATGTCCTTTTGAAGGAAGAGCACAAGACCCAGATTAAGGAGTGAAGTAGAATAAAAACATATATGGATGGAGGCAGAAACATTAAACTTAAACATTATTCATGTAACGTAAGGCATTGAGGTGAAATCAGGCGCTCGTCAAGATAATGAAGTAAAAGAAACCAGCATTTTTCTAGCTGCAGTGTAAGTTTTTCAAATTTTCTTTTTTTTGGCTGAGCATTTTTTTTATCCATTTAAAAACATATTTCTTTGTGGAATTTACTAAAAAACATTAATTAAAGGCATGAAAAAAAAGTAAATTTGCAGTTTCCAAGGAACACTCAAGCTTTAGAAATCACCAAACTTTGGCAGCCATTTTTTCCTTAATTTTATCTCTTACTCCAAGCTAGCATACTACTTGCATGGTTGTTGTTGTTGTTATCGATCCATCGACAGCTCTGCACTCGCCCTTCTGACCAATGCCATGTCGTGATAAGTGCAGGTGTGCTGCAGTTGTTACTACTTGCATGGAAATGGTAAACCTTTCTGTCTTTATTTTGCGAGTGGGTGTGTGGGCGGAATCCACAAATTATTTTTCTAGACTGTTTAAACAACTTGTGGTGTCGATAGTCTAGTGGTTAGGCTCTTGAACTCACAACAATGAGGTCATGGGTTCGAATCCCACCTGAAGCCCAAAGTTGTGCCCTTGGGAAAAGTGCTTTACAAGAATTACCCTCACTTCACCCAGCTGGGAATGGGTGACGGGCTACAGACAGGGAAAGATCTTGTCAGTTAGTTAGTATTTTAGCATTTAACTGTAAGCTTCCAGAGAAGCCGAGAAATTATCTGAGTGTACAAGGGTCTGTTGGGGTAATAATAAACTCGCACAAAAAAGTCAAGGAACAGCTTGTGTTTTCACCTGTCAAATTCAAACTTTAATATCTCACAAACCCGTAATGATCAGTCTACCAAACTTGGCACACGCATTGACGACAAGACACAGTTTGCCTGTACGGCAAATTTGCCAGCACCAGCTTCACAGCGACGACGCAGGGCATTCTGAAACACAGCCGAAAAGCATGAAAAATGGGCTAAATTTCTCTGACTCAGCAACATTGGCATAGGGACTGTTAGCTAAAACTACGCTTGGCACATGCTAAACAGATGTCTTAGCTGTGAAGATTGCTCACTTACAACCCTTTATAAGCCAGCGTTTTTCTGCCATGTTTCATTACAACACGATGGTCCAACAACACTCGCTGCCTGACGTCAACAGAGGACGAGCCATTACCTGGTCCAAGATGGCTCCAAGTTCCCAGTTGTTGCACATTGATTTGGGGTGTCTCCATCAGTCATATAGAGGCTGCAAGAACGATGGCGAGCGACCGGAAGGGTCCCGGGCAGACCTCGACCAGGATCGCCCCGTTTGACCAACAACAGCGTCGACCGGTTCATCGTCAAACAGGCTGTGACGTCACGAACCACCATTGCAAACGGCATCAGGGACCAACTAAGGGTGACAGCCAATGTCCACGAGAGCGAGGAGACGGTAAGGAACCGTATCCATAGAGCCAGGTTAGCTTCTTGAGTCCCTGCCAGGCGCCCAAGGCACACGCCGCCCAACAAAGCAGCTCGCCAATAACAGTGGACACATTGTCAGTGGGACAAGGTAGTCTTCTCGGACGAATCCAGATTCAACCTGCTGCACCCAGACAGGCGAGCCCACATCTGGAGGCGCTGAGGAGAGCTGTTCCACCCTGAGTGCATCCAGCAGGTGGTGCCCTACTTGCAGGGTCCGTTCTGGTATAGGGAGGCTTCTCAGCTCACCACAGGACCCCGTGTACCATATACAGGGCAATTTGACCTCGGCTAGGTACAGGGAGGAAATCCTGCGTCCCCTTGCTGTTCCTCTCCTGAAGCAGATTGGACCCGAGGCTGTATTGAAGGACGACAACACCACGCCATATCTCGCACGCGTCGTGGGGGACTTCCTGCAGCAGTGAGCAGTGAGCTGTCACCTGCATGGACTGACCAGCTTGTAGTCCGGATTTGAACCGAAACAGAGAACATTTGGGATCACCTTGACCGGTGGATAAGGGACAACCACCCCCCTGCACAAAACCGTCAACAACTCTTGGGCTACCTCGTCCAGGAGTGCAGAACATACCCCAACAAGTTCTCCAAAGGCATGTCCTGTCCATGCATCGACGCTGTGCTGAGTTTTTGATCAAACGAAGTGGCTACATCAACTATTGACAATGTTCATGAAGAACTTTGGCTGTTCAGACTTTTGAAATCCGACCAGTGTGACTTAAACTCATTTTACATAATTTTCTCGTTGTTGTTGAAATCTGAAATTGTTCACACTTAATCTAGAGAGTCCAAAGCATCTTTTGTGAAAAAAATGAATAAATTCGGTTAAACTGTTATTCAGTAATCTTTCTTTGAATTTTTGTTCCTTGACTTTTTTGTGCGAGTTTAGTTGTAAAGCACATAAAGCATGCTGTGGAGCGTGGATATGCGCTATATAAATGCGATTATTACAATAAACTACCTACCTGTGCTGACAGGGAATCCAGGTATCTCCTGGTAGGGCAAGACTTCTTTATCTTCCACAAGATCCACCAACTTGCCCAGACCTGACCCACAGATGATTCCCAGCTTCGGTCTGCATTTCACTTTCTCCAGAATGTGATTAGCAATCATTTCCACATCTTCATAAGTGAAGCTGAAAGCAAGGAACAGACATATTTTTGCAACAATTTGAAATAACAACAAAACATAACAATAAATTTATATAATCCTGAAAGTGTAGATGCAACTTGATCAAGATACAGGAGTTGCAACTTTATACAGTGAAAAACAAACCTGAAAAAGCTTGAAATACTATGTACATAGTGATGCTCAAAATCCTTTCCTCGATAGAAATCCACCAAATGTATTCACTGGCACTTCTTTACATAACTAAGTTATCAAGCCCTCTCAAAATCATCACTATGCACATTATAACAGTCCTGATCAAGATCACTTTTGGGAAACATTGGATTAACACTTTGCCATCATATTTGGGGGAAAATCCAAAGTAACTGGGTGGTAATCAGCGAGATGAGGAGACAAAGTATCAAACTATCAAAGTACAGTTAATTATATGTACATGTATGTGTGTTGGCCTGGGAAAACTAGGGAAAAGACGCAGTCGTGAACTAAGATGTTTCTCGAAACGACGAAATATCTGCTTTTTACTATATCTGACAAAGTTGTATAAGTGTTGGGTGCATTCTAAACTTACATATGTTATGTAGCTCTGATAGTGGATGTTTTCTGCACAATTGGTCTCCTGGTAGGGCAACTTGACATAAAAAGTTCTGGCTTACGATGAAAATTGAATAAGGTACATAACACTACGAGCGAGAAATGCTGAATTCTCGAAAAATATAAAAGTTTTTAAACGTAAGCCTCTAAGAATCTTTACAAACCACAAAATTAGATAACTGGTTCAGTTACATGTGAGATATTTGCACAAAGCTCTTTTTCACCAAACACCCCCCCCCCTCCCTCCTTGCAAGACTGTTTCAATAACCGCAACACATCTTGTAAAATTTTCTCCATCCTCAGCCTAAAAAATTCTAAATGGGAACTTTCTAAGAAATCTATAAAGCATAATCATCACTGATGAAACTTCTGATGGACCTCCCCTTCTGCTGATAAATTACATTAAAAATGTTTTAATAGACTCAATAGACTCGTAGCTCTATGTCGAACTATTAAAATTATAGATATATATCATATTATAATACATATTAGATAGAGTTTGGAGAAGCATGGACATGTTTTCCAAATTTTTCACTAAGTCTGCCACATAAGGAGGAGTAAAGAAATTTGGGTAATGCAAATAGGGTTGAGTAAAAGAAAGTTCAAGGCAAAGAAAGTAGAAGTAATGGAAAAGGTAGGGCAAGTAAGTAGCAGTTAAGAAGGAAAAAAAATAACACGGCCCACTTTTGTTCATAAGACTATATAATCATCCAAAATGTTTCTAGCATCTTGCCAACCAAACATATTGCAAACTGGCAGTTTTCTATCGAAATAACAGACAATGGATGCATTTGAAAACTTATTTATTTTCGACAGCTTCCATTTCAGAAACATTCATTAACACATCAATTGAAACATTTCGCCAAAATGTATGGGAAAATCAGGGGCTCTCGTGGTCTAGAGGTACGGTGTTCGCCTCTCATTCAATAGACACCTGACAGCAATGGGAAAAAATGTCTTCTCTAAATTTAGTCTCCTTTTGCCTCCTTCCATGTTCTCTTGTCATGCACTGTCATTCTCATTTCTGTTTTTGTCTCCACTCCCCACCCCCACCCTCCTCTAGAATCTGGGCCCCTCTCTCCTTTAGGGCCTACTCCAGACTCTTTCTAATGCTCCTCTTGGCTCCTTAGGCCCTACTGTTAGGAATACTGTCTCCCAGCCACATCCCTGAACTTAAAGTACAATCTAACACGTAACCTTCTTGGATAGCCGGAGGCCGAAAAATCTCGGAGATCCCGTGCGCAAGTTACTTGTTTAGTTACACAAAGATCGTTGGTGGTCCCAAACTTGATACTAGAGTAAGCTTCGGCTACGACCTGGACAAAATTCACAATTAATTCCGGCCAAACTGAAAGTGCATAAAAAATGTGTTAAAATAAATGTGTCCTGCATACTCATATGACATTATTTATGCAGTTGCGAAGTAAAACACTTGCCTTAGATCTATCAAAAAATATTTTGTGCAACTAATGGAGTGCCTATTGCCATGGGGAATCGGTTCTCTCACACAAACTGATCGTTCGACTCATTGCCTGAAAACAAAAGCATTCGTTTTTTAGGCAACAAAGTGGGCAGTCGGCTTGTGCCAAGATAGGCGCTTTGTACCCTCAATCACAATCTGGCTAGCAAACCGAACCAATCGTGTTAATGGGCACTGGGTGAATTATATGGCTAATGTCAAGCATCACCAACCTGACATTAAAATGAATGTCATTTATTATTTTTTTTAAAGAGGAAAGTAGAAATCTAAGGAAGCGAACAGTAGACTGTGCAACCAAAACAAAGTTCAATTAAACTAGATATCTAGATCTAGATATATTATATCTAGATTCTAGACTCTACAAAAAGAAATGTTTTCAAATCTAAAAACTGTAATTTATATCAAATTACTGGTTAAAACAGGGGGCCCCACTGTAACCCCCCAGATTTTCTTTTACCCCCCCCCCCCCTCCCAATTTGTCCAAAGCATGTCTATCGAGATCGAGAACTAGTTCTAGACCTAGAAATCTAGACATCTAGATATAGATCAAGATTTTAAAGAACAATCAAATACTTCAAAAACTAGTCTAGATCTAGATATCTATCAATTTGCAAAGGAAATGAAGTAATTGATATTCGTGTTCAGTGCATCAATATTCACCCGTGTGGTTCTCGGGGCCTTGCCCAAGAGACAGGGGAGCAAAGAATAGGACCACAGTATCCGTACCGCGCATGTCGTACAAGGCGACTAAGGTCGGTTGGGCAAAGGGTTAGCAGCCCTTTCCCATAAAACAAAAGCAGCTACAAAAACATCAACAGCAAAAACAACACGACCGCCAGTTCTGGAAGATGGAGGACCTTCATCACCGAGGAGAGGAGAGAGTAGGGAGTGTAGAATGATGCAGGGTGGTGAAAGCTGGAAGGAAGCCACCAAGCCGAGAAACCTCCTGTCGACCAGAAAAACCACCAGACTTGGCACCTGGAATGTAGGTACAATGTACGAGGCAGGGAAGGCACTGCAGGTTGCAAGAGAGATGGAGGGCTACCAACTGGACATATTGGGTCTCTGTGAGACGAGATGGACAGAAGGAGTAGGTATTCTGTTATCAACACACGCCAAGCGGGCTTTGATAGGATGGAAAGCAGAGGGCCCGCGACTAATATCAGATGAATTCCGTTCACGGAAGAAAGACATCAACCTTCATGTTATCCAGGGATATGCCCCCACCAACGATAAAGCGTAAGAAGGGAAGACCTAAGATGACATGGAGGCAAGCGGTATCAGCGGAAATTGAAAAAACGGGGACATCATGGAAACAGATAGAAAAGGATGCTCAGGACAGGCTTCGCTGGAGTAATGTTGTTGATGGCCTATGCTCCACTGGGAGTTAAAAAGGGCAAGAGAGAGAGCATCAATATTAGATATCTAGTAGAGTTCAAAATGAACAACTGTAAAGACCGGAGGGAAAGTAAAAAATTCCAGATCTAAGACCTAAGATCTAATCTAGATTCTAGATCTAAATCTAGATCTCCTACCTAGATTCTGGATCTATCTAGATCTAGTATAGATATAGATCTAGTCCTAGATTAGATCTAGATTCTAGATCTAGAATCTAAAATATATTACACATTTTATAATCTGTTTATTTAGACCTATTTTTGTTTTTATGACGGCCAACCTGAGTTTGTTATCAATGGACGAGTCCAATCGCTGGAGTTGTTTTCTTCTGCTGTCAGTACTGTCAGCCATGACGACGCCAAAACGTGGGTCACTTCAAATAGATCTATTCTAGAGTCTAGTAGATTCTCTAAATTTCTTCGCCCTGCCACTGACGATGATGAAATCGCATCAGATCCTGCGAACTTTGCTTGTTGTCGTCAGATAACGATTTATACTCTTCGCAGTGTTCACTCAGACAGTGGGTCTACAGGTCACTCCGGGGTTTCCAGGTCATACACGAGTGCACTCTCGTTGTAAACAAAAGATAGCTTGTCAGAGGGAGCGCTCGATACTCGATCACGTACTCGATAACAGCGGTTTATTGGCAAAGATTCTGTATAACACCAAAGATAGTACATAACAAGATAGGCCACTTCTCTCTTTGAGCCAATTAAAAAAGTGTCCTCAAAATTTGGTGGCGCCCTCTTCACAAAAGCGCACTCTTTGCGAACAGAGTTACTCTACTTGAGTTATAAAAATTCAAAGTGAAACTAGCAAGTTTTGGGATAAATTTCGGAAGAACGCTTTTTCAAAATGGTTACCCTGACAAAAAAACTCTTCCGGAGGAAAGGGTGATGGT